AGTTAGTATTTTAATTAAATAAAATAAATTATTAAAAAAATTATAATTACATTATTAACAGCAGGAAGAGCAATATTCGCTACTTTAATACATTGTTCTTCATTTTGTTTTCTATAACGATTAAGTCCAGCTATAGTATAATGAAGTGTAATATTCATTATTGCTTGAGGATCCACATTATGATTATTAAGCTTTTGGGTAGTAGTTTTACGTAAGAAATAATTGACTATACACTGATTAGTACAATCAATTCTAGTTAATTCACAAATTGTCTTTAAAACTTTGAATAGTGAGTCACGACTCATATGAAGATATATATACCAATTTCCTTTTTTTATTTCTATATATAATAAATTAATATGTATATATATAATATATATAACAATAATAAATTTAATTTAACCAACCTTCCGAATCTCTATTAATTTGTAAAAATAAATTTGGTTCTGCATTTGCTGGTCATAAGCTTAAATATTTTTTGATATCAGTACATGCTCCAATAACTCCTAATTCATCTGAAGGTATAATTTGTGACGGTGTATTATATCCAAATCCAGAAGTATTACGATAATAATATCCACCCTTATGGGTTTTATCATAAATCATTAAAAAATCAAATCCTCCATCAAAACGTTCTTTAAAATGTGATGCTATTATATCTAAATAGGATCTACTCCATTTAGCAGTACAACAACCAATCCATAAAAAAACTCTACGAAATAATCCAATTGGTGTATCTTTATTAAGTTCATAATGTTTAAATATTTGTTTTATTTCATAATTACTTAATGGGTCTGCGCCTTGAGATGTTCTATTAGGAATTTCTTCTAATTCTCGCAGTCTTGAATATAAAATATCACGAAAAGAAGCAAATTCAAAATTACCATATAAATTAAAAAGACCTATTTCTTTAAATCTTTCAATAAAATATCTATTTATTGCACAAACACCATTATATAATGAATCTGCTTTAAATTCATTTTTATCACGTTTTTTTATTGCAATAACAAATTCAGAAAGTAAAACAGCGAGTATATGTTTATCATTAATTTGATCAATATTAAGATCAGATTGGATGTCTTTAACATATTCTTTAAATCATGTAATCCAAAGCTTGTTACTTTTTTGAGTATTTTTTGGAATTGCAGTTTGCTTATAATGATTTAATGTGTCATTTGATGGACGTTGGTATTTAAATCTACTAAGCTGCAATATTATTAAATTAATTTATTATATTATAATTTAATATTAATGATTAAATACTGATACATACATCGAATTTTTTATTATTTGGTTTTATTGAAGATCTACTAGTTGTTTCTATATTTGAACTTGATTCCTTTAGGTCAGTTATTGCTTGAGTTACTAGATCGATTTCTGAAGCAGGTTTAAATCTGGATTTCTTAAAAATTAAATACATATTTAGTAATAGCAATAGCGATAGTAACGATAATATATAGCAATAGCAATAGTACAGTAGTAATGACAATAAAACTTATTTTATTTAAATTAAAAAATGCTAGTACATAAATATTAAAAAAAAATTTCTAACCATATTTTTGTTCGTTATTAAAAAAAGAAGTTTTTTTTAGTCATGTAGATAGCAGGGAATATAACTATTACAAATCCTCTTTAGCATTTTGTCTAAGTTTGTTCTATAAGCTTTCTACTCTTCACTAGTTATTTTTTCAAGATTAAGAATATATTTTTTTCTTTTTGTTCTCTTGTTACTTGCATTTAATCTACTATGTTAGCTAAAGCTTGTAATAAATTAAGCAGATACAATCTTATGATCACTACTTGTGATACAATCTGCTATTATAATTTTGTATTTTATTTAGCCTTGAGATAAGTTTTTTGAAATCTAAATATAATCTATTCTTATACTTAATTTCCTATTTAACTATATAAATTCTTTTATATATAAATAGATCCTTTTAAATACGTTTTCAAAGTAGAGCTTTCTAGCTAAACCAAAAGTAAAAGTATTTGTTTTTTTTTAGATTCTTTGTTATTTTGATCAAGAAGATTAAAACAAATATTATTAAAGTTGTCTATTATGATGACTTTGATATTTCTTCTTTCACACTCTCAGATCTTTCTAATAACATGTTGTTGAAGGAGTTTCTTGATTTCTTTGTTGTTAGATAGGATATATACTACAATGACTAATATTTTAACCCGTTTAAAAACTAGCAAAATATCTATATAGTAATTACTGTATCTTGAGACTTTGTCTATATGCTTTTCCTATATTTTGCTTATTAGTAGCTCTACTCCTGAGCTTTTTGCTTTATCTTCTTCTGCTAAAGTTCAGAAGCTTAGAAAACTAAACTTATTTTTTAAAACAAATTTTTTTTGTTATTTACTTATATTTGACTCGTTTATACCTATAATATCAATTTTTTGTTCTTTTGCCTATTCTACTAATAGCTCTAACTTTGCACTTTTATCTTTTATCCTGTTGATATTGTATATTGCTATACTAAGTATTCTAAAGTTTGCATTCAATTTTTGGTTTGCTGATCCTTTTGCCTAACTACTATTTCTCATTAAGTTGCTAATTTGATCTTAGTTTTTAATTTCTTTTGCTTTTTGCTAATTTCTAGGTTTTTTTTTTTAAGAAATTTGAGCTTTCTATGATTCAACTAGTGCAGCAAATTAGGAGTGATCAGAAGCCTTATAACTCCTGTATTTGTTTTTAGCTTTTGATAAATGCTCTTGTTTTTCTGCAAGTATTAGCAAACTTTTTAGAATCTTTTCATACTTAAACTACTATTTCTATATCTTGATCTTTCTTATATATATAATTTCTGCCTTTTCTTACTTCTTCCTCTATACTTGCTTAATTTACTTGCATTACTTTAATCTGAGAACTTAGAGCAATTATCTTTTATATCTGAGAGTGAGTTTGTTTTGAATCTCTTTTTTTTTCATTTCTATATTTAGGAGATCTTGTATAATCTTTGTATATTGTTAACTTATTTTTTCTTAGCTTACTCTCCTTATATATATACTTTAAGCATCCTTTACTCAGGTCTTGTTCATCTTTCTTTTTCCTAAGCTTTTCAGACTTATCCTTTGTAATATACTTGATACCTTTGTATTTGCTTCAGTAGTAGCCTTATCTTCTAAGTTATTGCTTCTCATTGTATCCTACTTCAGTTTGTTATCATAGTAGTATGCTAAAAACCTTGAGCTATTTAGCAAGTCTTTTTTATTAGCAAAATAGACTATTATACTTCTCTTGTTATTATTGTTAGCATTCCTAAATATGTGTAGAGCTTTAGCTCCTGTTTGTCTTATTTGTCTTCACAAAAGTATTTTATTTGTATCTTTAAGGAGATCTAAGATTTTTCTAGAGAATCTACTTCGAGTCTTAAGAAGCTCTATATTATTTTTTTCTGAAGTAACTCTCACTAAACAGTTACTTAGAAGAGGAATACACTATATATCTTGAAGGTCTTCTACGAATATTGTATTTGATACAAATTTGACTTCTATATGTGCTTTTTCATGAACTTTTCTAATTATCTTAATATAACTAACTCTTCTAAGATAATGTACAAATTCGAAAATATATACTCTTTTTGCCTACTTTGAAAGGTCCTATACTATGATTGAGTTCACTTTCATTGTTCTTTTAATTTTTCCTTCTATTACCTTCACTGACTGAGTACTCAGCTTTTCTTTGAATCTGAGTTTTTATTTATTTCTTATATAGTCTGCTTTCCTTTTAGTTTTAGTATACTTATCACTACTAATTTATCTGATATACTTTTATTCTCTTCTTGTATTTTGTAATTATCAAATATTATATTATACTATTCAATCTCTTTTTTCTTAAGTTTCTCTTTCAAGATATTCAGGCCTTTAAAACAATCAAATTTGATAATTATCTAACTGTTTCTGTTTTTGAAATATTCTGTAATTTTACTAATATGATTACTTTTATATAGTGTTCTCTTTACAAACTTAATATGTTCATCTTTTGTTTCTCCTGGAAGAGAGATAGCAGCTATTTTTGCTTTAAATTCTTCTGTTTTCTTACAAGTATTTTCATTAGATATCTATAAATTGTCTTCAAGTGAAGTTTTATGAGACTTCTTGTAATTTGCTACTACATGATCTAGTTGCTTCTTCTAGTACTCTTTTAGATTATTAATTTCCTTTTGTAAAGTTCTAAATAGAGCTATTTCTATATTCTTGAGTACTATGTCTTTTGTTTACAAAGCTAGATCTACAACCTCATCCTTTACAGACTTTGTGTATTCTATATTGTTCTTATTGCCTGTAACAGGTAAGTTTGTTAGGATACTGTTTTTTTGTAAGCTTACTTCTTCATAGATATTTTCTATTCCTTCATCTATGAATAGAATCTCTATTGCTATTTTGTTGCTAAATGCTATTTTTCTATTTAGATACTTAATTCTTTTGAGATTACTAATACTGAGTTACTATTCATATTCTTATCTTCTAGTAATCTAGTAGCTATAACATCATCATATAACAATTCAGCTTCTACCTTTTGTATTGCTAACTCATTTACTGCTTCTGCAGTTTCTTTAAACTATTAGTTTTCTTTTCCTTCTGTGCTATTATTTTCTTCCAAGCTTGTTACATTTCTTCTTGCTTTTTTACTAATGAAAATTCTTTTTCAAGCTCCTCTAGAGTAGTATTTAACACTTTTTTGCCTTCTTCAATAATTATTTTTTTTATTATTCTTCACTAGTTTCTAGTTATAGTAATAATTTTTATACTTATTCCTGTAATTCTGAATAAATATTCATTTATTTGCTCATGATTTCCTTCTATATCTTTAATTACATTACTGAGCTTCTGAGATTCTTCTTCTCTAAGCATTGCTTTAAGGTTTGCTACCTTCTTTTTTTTTAGTATATAGCTTTCCTTTAACTTGCCTACTTGGTTATATTTTTTGTCTGCTAATATTAACTTTAACTTAGCACTTTAATATAAGTGACTTTAGCTGCTTATGATCTGTCAAGCTGAAAGTCTGTATACTTCTCTTCTATTAGTTTACATGTAATGTATCTGGTTAGTATTCAGCATATATGAAGTTTGTTTACCTTGTTTTGTAATTTGTATTACATAATATAATCTGTGAGACAGAGTAAATTCAAATTTCTACTTTTTTTAAAAAATTCATTTGATTTTTGCTAAGAGTCTTATTTTCTTCTGAATATTTCTACAAGTTTCTAGATTTTTTTTCTTGTTATATATATTTTTATATGCTCTTTCCTTCTTCTTAGTACTTCTTTTGATATTTCTTAATATAGTTTTTAAGAAAATTAAGTTTTTGCTTTAGCTCAAAATTTGGTTGAAATGATCTATAAAAAAAGTTTTTTGAATATTTGAAGTTTACTATTTTTGTAAGACTTAACTATTTGTATAATTTTGTAGATACTTTTATAAGCTAAGCTTTTAATTAATATAACCAAATAGCAAGTTTTCTTTTTAATTTCCAGATAGGTTGTTGTTTATAAGCTTTTAATACTGCTTCGTATTCTTTAATTTTTTTTAATAATAGTACTATCAATATATCAAAATTGTTTACAAAGCTATTATTATCTATCTCTTGCTTATACATTTCTAATATGACATCAAATTTTTTTTTGTAATGATTATATTTCTCTTTTCTTTCATTCATTATATTATGATTTATCACCAACTTATTCTGCAAAATGTTTGAGCTAGTGCCAACTTTAATAGAATTGTTAACTAAATTTACTATACTTAATCTAATCTATAGATTGTTTATTAGATTAATAACTAGAATTTTATTATTGCCAAAGGTAAGCAAGAGATAGTTATGTTATCATGATGTTTCTGAAAAGGTTAGCAAAAAATGTTTGCTATTTTTTTTGTAGGTAAGGTACTTATAAAAATGATAACAACTATTTAAATATGCTAGATAAGAATATACTTAGTTATTTATATCAATATAGTATTTTTCTTCTATATTAGGCTGAATATCCTCTGTTGTAGCCTTATGCTATTCTGCTTTAAATTCATGCTACTATACTGGAAAAGTTCAATTACTATTATATTGAGTTAACTTAATTTCAAAATTAGGAATAAGTTGTTTAGTTATGATTTGAGTTAGTTAATTAATATATGATCAGTTATAATTATATTTGTAGTTATATTTAAGAACTCTTTAATAGTTTTCTGTAATTATATTAGTATATGCAAAAGATATAACATGTGGATATGAAGATAAAGAGAATAGTTTTTAGTCTTTTTTATTATACCAATTTGTTTATAAATAATTTTATAATCTAACAAGATTATGCAAATTACAAAATTAGTATAATTCTTGAATACAAAAATAATAAATTTCTGCTGATATCATATAAGAGTTTTTTTTAACTAGAATAAGTAGATGCATAAATGAATATT